TCCTCTCGCTTGACACGTGGAAAGTGATCCTTTGCTCTCGTTGACATTGCTAGTGCCCAATCTTGCTACTCGAAGTCTTTTCACGTTTGTGGGTTTTGTAGTTGTAGTTATCCAAAATATACAGTACCGAAGGGCGCTGACACAAATAAAAAAACGTCGGGATTAGGGCCCCCCTCCCGCATACCTTTTCTGGGGCTCAATGTGCCTACGTCTTGTTTCAGTGCACAGTATGAATGTTCTGAAGGGCAAATCATTTGAAATAATACTTTAGTGGAAAAAAGGGTAGAGAATTTTGGGAGTCCAAGAAAGTGTAATAAAAGATAACATAAAGCCAATTAACAGTATTTTTAATTTGAGACAGGGGTTTCAAGCCCCCCAGGTTCCAGCGTTCCTGACGCAATCAAAACTGGAACATTCGATTTGGAGCACCCGGAATTTGTTTGTGTTTGCTATTATCCGAATCGCCTATATCTGTGTTGTTGGGGGGAGCGGCGTGCCGGTAAAATTTTTGAGGAATGACAACGGGGTTAGTTTCTACGTCACCTTCATAGAACAGATGCCGGCCGTCGGGGAGTTACGTCGGGCCCAATTCAGTGTGTGGATAATTCTGTCCTCAACTTGAGATTGTAAACTTTCTGAAAATGTGGAAGATTATAGCAGTGTTTCGGGTAAGTCTTGGTGTCTGACCTCTGTCTGTTTGTCGTTCTACGATTAGCTCATTTCCCACCTCCACTGCACAGATTCTGTCATCACCTTCTTTTTCTTTCTTCTTTGTTCGCTCTGCAACGGCGATTGGCACGTCTCTCATCTGGGCTGTCATATATGTGCCCTTCGGACCGTCACACCCGATTTTAAGCAAATCCCCAATTAGTCGTCTTTTACAATTCTCTCTCCCTCTTCTTTAAAATGTCTTTTGTTTTGCCCCGTTGAATTCGTGTAAACGGGGTTTTACTGTATAAGCATAAACAGCTGGCAATTTTCTCTCCCCCCCCCCCCTTTTCCCCACAAAATACTCTGTATCATTCTTGAGGCCACTGGGAAACGTCAGTTAGTTAACTCTTTTGTGTATTTGTAGTTTTGTTTGATTTATGTATGCTGATGAAGGCTTTTTAGCCGCAACGTTCACTTGTCGTTTTTTATTTTTTATATGGTGAAACTCGCAGATCTACTTTTCGTTCGGTTTTATATCTAACACACACTGACATCTTAATTGCACGCGTTTACTCCATCATTTATATCCCTTAACCATTCACACTCACACACAGACATCCATAGTGCCTGTGAGCGCGATCTGTCTGGGTTGTTCACACCTGGCCCATATATTTTTATTTGGTGTTTAGTCTTAAGATTTGCGTCGTATGCCGATTCTGGTCGTTGTCGGCTTGCCTGTTACACAGATAATTACAGATCATTTGGTCAGAAGTGGGTGGCGATGACAAAGGGTTGGGTGTACCACTGCCTTCTCTAGTTAGTTGTAAGGACCTGTATACAGCCGGACCTGGGTATACTAACTAGAATAGGCAGTCATAGGTCCCGTTTCTGGTGTTAATTGTTTAAAAAAAATCCAGTTCATATGTTGAGATATTTAGTTTTTCAGGTCTGATATGTCCTAAGACTGGTTGTGAATTACGACTGTGTCCTTTCACCTCATAGTTGTATGTGTTAAACAGCATAGCACTATGTGTATACATGTGTTTAAAAAAAAAAAACAACGTGGTTGATGACAAAACAAGGTCGTTGATTTTAAAACATCTCGACATTTTGTACAAGGCTGGGGTGTATACGACTGTATCTGTTTACCTCACAGTTGTCCATGTTAAACAGCATTTGTGTGTGTCAAAAACAGCGCGGTTGGTGATCAAAACAAGGTCGTTGATGTTAAAACGTGTCGACGTTTCTCGGGGTATTCAGCTGTGTCCTTTCACTTCATAGTTGTCCATGTTAAAACAGTGTTCTCTCTCGTGTGTTGAAAACAGCGTGCTTGGTGATGTTAAACATCTCGGTTAGTACACGATTGCATCTTTTCAAATGATAGTGTTTCGCGATAAAACATCTTTATTTATGTTACAATATTTTGGTTCATGTTAAAACGTTGTGGTTGATTTAAACATGTCCACATTTAGTCCATGCCTGTATAGGATTGCATTTTTTTTTTTTTTTCAAATAGCGTGATTCATGTTAGAACGTATCCATATAAAAACAGCACGATGTATGTAAATCTTATTTAAAATTTAAACAGCATCAAAACAGTGTCAAAACATCGCGGTCTTTTCCCAGTCATTTCTGTAAAATCATCACGGTTTATTAAAAACATCCCGATGTATTTAATATTTAATAAAACGCACAAGTCTAGCAAAATGGGCTGGATGGAGTCTGCAAAAACATCGCGATATGTTTGACTATTAAGATACCTCCCCAACTGACTAAGCCAGCGCACTATTTCAAGCGCACACAGCCAGCGCGCTGAACGCTCACACCCATACAGCCCCTGGTACTACAAAGATTTGACGAGTGACCTACATAGCTTGTACTCCGAACAGGTCATAGAAATACGTTGTATTGATTTTTTTTCCTCGCAGATAAATGAGTACCAGGAATTTATTCCAGAATTATAAGTTATGTTATATGAGTTCTGTGGAGTTGTTTATCTGCACACAAGAACGCATTCTATAAATAGATTGTGTTGAGCGCTGTAGAAACCTACTGTTGTTCACTCAAGAGATACTGAATATAACACAGACTGACTGGAAAGCTCAACGGGGTAGTTGGGTGGTAGTAGTGTTGGAAAAGACGCAGAAAAATGCAATATATAACCCGACGTTCCGAACGTAGACTTCATCAGTGGATCCTATGTTCGTCCCATGTACATATTTGCAACATTTCATCATCATCATCAGTTGCCTTGGCGACTGCCATGGGAGATCTTTTTGGCTTTCTACAATTTGCTACCCTCAACAGCATTTATCAGTTAAGACACCCCCTTCCACATATACCATGACAAAAGACTGTCAAGAATCTCCTGGCGTTGTCTTCCCCCGTCTCTTCCACATATCTTTCCAGTTACTTTTATGTTTGTAATCAGTTGTCTTCTGTGATAAGCCCTCGCCTATTTCCAAACAATACAAAAAAAGTAGCATTTTCTATCCTATCATATTATTTACGTCATGTCTGGGTTGTGATCCAGAAAGCAATGGCAAACTACTGGACGTAAATTTGCCTAGAGAAACCACACAACAGCCAGTGGGTTCTGCAACTTCCTGTAAAAGATACGCAACTAACCTATACCTGTGTTGTGAAGGGGTGTGTCCACTACTGTGCCCATAAATCCGACTGAGGTATCGGATGAGGTGACTGGCCAGCATCACTTGTGTGATAGACTAACAACCAGCAGGGCAGGGGAACAGACAGCCATGGTGTTTGGATATGCGGACCTCGCTGTTTTGGCGGAATACAATCACATACCAGCGAAACATGATTATTGAACATCTGCCACGATGTCTTCCGAAATCGGGGGGGGGGGGGGCATTTACAGGAGAGGTATCGAGCCAACAGTCTGCCTATACTAGTAAACAGAATTCAGTTTTGGAACAAGACTAAAAGTCCAGAAATGTACGAACAACCAGAAGATTCAGCCCTCTCAACGCTATAAAGAGCTCCACGACGTTTAAGCAGGAACCCATGTGACCTACCCAGCAACTTGAGACGTACTGTATGCATTCAGCCAATCAGTTCATTCAGCAGCCAGACATAAATTACTCTGATTTTCTTGATTGTTGTTAGCACTGGGTGACCCACCCTTTTTTGTGGTGAATGCATTCTTTATAAATCGGAACATTGTGCTTCTTATGACTGTTCTATCCCCCCCCCCCCCCTTGGGTTCTTTTGTTTTACTTCCTTAGTTTGGCTTATTTTATAGTAATTTTTAAGTAAGTGGGTTTAAAAAAAATCTTTCCTATCCCCGCTTGCTCTCCCCTCTCTCATTCTCTCTCTGTCGCGCGCGCTCGCTCTCTCTCTGTGTCGTCTCTCTCTCTCTCTCTCTCTCTCTCTCTCTCTCTCTCTCTCTCTCTCTCTCTCTCAAAATAATTGGTTGGAAGTACTGTAAGTTCAGACCAGACTGGAAGCTCAGTTTGCAACACTTTAAAAATGAAATTCCATACTTGATAGATGCTTCAGCTGTCCCTGATTTCACTCTCCTTTCCTTTTCCTACTACTCTTTCACATGCACATCTGTCTCTTCTTTTTCTGTCCCCACAACCTTGTCTCTTTTTTTTCTCTCTTTTATTTAGGGGGCTGCGTGGTCGCGAGGCATGGTGTCCGCCTCGAGTGCTAAACGATCTTAGTTCAATCCCCTTTCACTTGGACTTCTAGTAATTTCCCCCTGGTCTCTGGGTAGTGAGATCGGACGCCCCCCCCCGTGTGCATTGTTGGGTATGTAAAAAAAAAATTACCTGGCAGTTAGAAATTGAAAAGAGTAGCGTAACAGTGATGAGTAAAATTTGGAGTAAAAATCTACCCAAAGTATTTCTGGATGCTCGCCGGTGCTACAGAGCCTGTGCACTGTGCTGACCTTCTTCGGACTCAGACTTGAGTTAGAAGAAAATCAGAGCACTTATGGGTAACTACCCGTGTGCCATGATGTTGATCCGTTGTTCAGACCTTCAAGCTTTCTCTTGTATCTCTCTCTCTGCCTCTCTAAAGTCAGCGGTGTTGGCCAGTCATCTCATACCCTCAATAGATTTCCATCACCATCAAGTGCATTGCTGACTGGCATGGTTGATCATGCCCATCACAGTCTGTGATCTTTGACTGCATCTCCATACACACACCACTGCACTGTGATCTTTGACTGCATCTCCATACACACACCACTGCACAGTGATCTTTGACTGCATCTCCATACACACACCACTGCACAGTGATCTTTGACTGCATCTCCATACACACACCACGGCACATTCCTGTATTTTAAAATTTAATTGCAAAAATGTTTATTCCCACAGAGTCCAAGTTCTACAAGTCAGATGGACAGTGGTCAGCAGAAGCCTATCTCTAAGGCACACCTAGTGACCATCCAGCCTGCTGACTCACTGACAGTTGACTCTGCCCCATCATTTCCAGACAGTTTACAGATCAGCCCACCAAAGCTGGATGGCTTTCACATGCCCTTGCTTGACCAGCTAGAGAACGAACTCTCTTCCACTCAGGACCAAAGCTGTGGTTTATCCCACATTAGCATCGGCCAGATGGCTGTCTCTTCAGATTCTATGCCCACAACAATCACAGAAATTGCAGAGGCCCAGGAAGGTCAGGGAGAAAAACCAAAGAGAAAAAGGCAGCGTAAGCCGAAACCTGAGAAAGCAGTAGAGGAATTGGGACCAGACGGAGAGCAGATCCCAAAAGAAAAGAAGAAAAGGAAGCCCAGAGAGCCGAAAGAACCGAAACCACCGAAAGAGCCCAAACCACCCAAGCAACCGAAACCACCTAAAGAACCAAAGCCCCCTAAGGAACCAAAACCTAGGAAGCCCAGAGTACCGAAAGAACCAAAGGAACCAAAAGAACCAAAGGAACCGAAAGAACCCAAAATACCTAAGGAATCCAAGCCAAAGACGCCACGAGTTCGTAAGAAGAAAGAGAAAGAAGCATCCGAAGTGGATGTAGTTGTTGTTGTTGCTCCTGTTGATGAGACTCCAGCTGTTGTACCAGATATTGTTGTGCAGGATGTTGTGGCAGCGACAGGAAGTGATGTTAGTGTGTGTGGACTTGAAAGCTCTCTAGAATCAAGCAATATGGCAGATGTTTCTATAATATCTGTTGTTTCTATGGCAGAGGAGGGGGTTGTTGAGGAAGTTGTGGACATGTCTTTGGTAACAGACCCAGACACTTTAGTAGAGAAGGTAAAGACTCCCAAAACAAAGAAGCCAAGAGCGCCTAAAACATTAAAAATCAAAACAAAGAAGAAGAGGACCCCAGCAGCGCTGTTGTTGAAGGGGAAGAAAAGGAAAAGAAATAATTCAGGTTCTGACGTGGAGCTCGGTGGCGGTGACGCTGATGCTTCGGGGGAAATAGACCTAAATATTGAAAAACGAAGGTCAGCTCGAAATACAAAACGGACTAAATATGTCGATGACATAGATTTGAATTTGTCTGATGAAGATAAGAATGACGATGGGGATGTTTCTGATGCGCCAGTTACCATGAAGAGGGAGTCGGATGAAGATGCGTTATTGATAGAGAAAATATTAGGGGAGAGATTTAGAAAGCCAGAAACAGATCCTAGTGCTAAAGGAGAGGAAAAGGATGATCAGCTAGAAGATCTGGTAGATATTAAAGCTGATGTGAAAGAAGGGGAAATTGAATTTTATGTGAAGTATAAGAATTATTCATACCTGCATTGTGAGTGGAAGACTCAGGCAGAATTAGAAAAAGGTGACCGCAGAGTGTTCTCAAAGATTAAGCGGTATCGAATGAAGAAGGCTATGAGTTACTTTGAAGACGATGAGGATGAATTGTTCAATCCCGATTATGTGGAAGTGGATCGTGTGTTGGATATGATGGTGTCAAAAGATCCGGACACGGATGAGGAGGTGAAGCATTACCTCGTGAAGTGGAGGAGCCTCTCTTACGAGGAGGTCACCTGGGAACTGGCTCAGGATGTAGACTTGAAGAAAGTGGAGATGTATATGAAGTTTCGAGTTCCTCCCCCTGAGGAGGAGAGGAAAGTGTTTGCTCGGCCAAGACCTGGTCAGTGGCGGAAGCTGGAGGAGACACCCGTGTACAAGAATGGCAACACCCTGAGGGAGTACCAGCTGGAAGGAGTCAATTGGCTGTCCTTCTGCTACTACAATGGTCAGAACTGTATCCTGGCCGACGAGATGGGTTTGGGAAAAACCATTCAGAGCATTACTTTCCTCAACGAAATTTACCAGTATGGCATTAAAGGCCCCTTTCTGGTCATTGTTCCTTTGTCTACTGTGGGCAACTGGCAGCGTGAGTTTGAAACCTGGACAGACATGAATGTGGTAGTGTTTCATGGTACGTCGCTCAGCCGTAACATGATCAAAGAATACGAACTGTTCTACAAGGATGATAAGGGGCAGCGGATCCCGGATATTTATCGGTTCGAGGCCTTGATCACCACTTTTGAGATTATCCTCACAGATTTTGATCTGTTGGCGGACATTGATTGGAGATGTACGATTATTGATGAAGCTCACAGACTCAAAAACAAGAACTGTAGACTCCTGGAAGGTCTTCGGCTGTTTGATTTGGTGAGTTTAGTTTTTGTTTAGTAGAATGTTTCAATTCTTGAGTTATTACTTATTTGTTTTGTTGTTACAGGGACTTTTAACTTAATCGTTTTGTTGTTACAGGGACTTGTAACTTAATCCCCCTCTGATACAAGCACTTGGCATAAGTGATAATCCTTTTTTTTTTTTTTTTTTTTTTTTTTTTTTTTCAAACTTTCCAACTTTTAAAATCATTTTCTGTCATAATCATATGTTACTGAAGCTCCTTCTGTTAAAGCACTTGTTACTTTATGTTTGTTACAAACAGTTATTTCAGTATCTTTCCGTTAGTTATTTAATTCAAAACTGCTACAAGCATGTGCTACTTACTTAATCTCCTACTGTTACAAGCACTTATTACTTCTCTTTCGGTTAAAAACCTGTCGCCTAAATCTTGTCCTGTTAAAGCACTTGTTACTATGTCTTTCAGCAATATAATCTCTCTTTTACAAACGCTCATTCCTTAGTCTCTGTTATAGTTATTCAAACTGTTAGAAACAATTATTACTTAATCTGTCTTTTCAATGCAGTCTCATAATTAGTGGCCTAATCTGTTAGTTTCAAGTTGTTAGTACCTTATCTCTGTTTGTTGTCCATAGATTTAAGCAGCGAAGTGAGTTAAAATTGATTATATATGAGATTTGATAGTAAAGTAGGAGAGTCAGCACAGAACCAATACTTAGCTTTATAGGCAGACAACGAAGCATTTGGCCATCTAACAAGATTGGTATCAGAAAGTAAACAGAGAGCAATGTTATACACATACAGCGGTAACGAACCCAAAAATTGAATCGAACAGAAGGGCCCATTCCAGAGATCTCTTCCTGCCCTGGTGCCGCAAGGCCTTCCAGGAGTAGAGAAATGATGAACGGATTAACAAGAATTGGGCACACATTCTGCCCTTCTGGCCTCACTCCATGCATACATTATTCATTAACATTGAAGAAGATAGTGCTAGAAAATAACAAATAAAAATGGAAACATTACACTTAGGCTGAGAACCTTCCTTTGTTAAAGTGAGGACACAGCTTTTTCAGATTCTGCTGACTTGTGTAATGGTATAGTGTTGTCTGATACTGACTTATTGATACAACTGAGGAGTGGCTGGCTATGATCTTGTAAATAAGATTATCAGTACAACTGAGGAAGGGCTGGCCGAGCGATTACAGTGCCAGTGACCTGAGTTCGACCCCCGGAAAGTTAATGTTTTTTCTGTTGCGGCAGAATTAAACATCCCAACCTATACAGCCTGAGGCGACATCACCAGCTTTGCAGCCCTAAAACCTGAGTGAGGCTCACGACCCCCTGTCAACAACACCCTAAAGAAGTGGTACATACAAGACTCTAGTGACAGTTTTTAGATACTGTTGAACGTTTTGGGGGTCACAGAATTGAAGGGAATAGGTCTTGGGCTCTGATTTCCATGCCTTGGATAGCACAGTTGGAAAAGCAGTCTTTTGGAAAGGCAGACAGGTGCTAGTGGAAGACTTTAAAGGAAATATGATGATCAACAGTGGTAAAATCTCAGCCTGTTAGTTATTTTGTGCAAATGATGACCTAGCGCAGAGGTTCTCGAACTGGGTGCTGCAGCAGTAATTAAGAAAAGTCAACTAAACATTGTGGAACTATTAAAGAAGGCATGCAGATACTTAAGAGTTAAAATTTAAGTTGTCTTCCCCCACCATTTGTATTGTTTGTATCACACTAAGGCACTGGAAGGGCAATGCGTTAACTGCCACAGAAGTGTTGCTAACAGTTGCTTGGTTCCCTCCAAATTAAAGTCACCTGGAATGCAATCATTCTGAATTAGTACAATCTGGCTAAGAAATTTACAAACGCGGCGCTTCATCTCTTCAGGCAGGGTCGCACACACACACACACACACTGCACTGGGCTCTCATGTTTTAAACATCAGGAGCCTCATGGATTTGTTTTCTGTTGGATGCAGAAAATAAAACTGTGCCATGTGGCCCTGAGTTGTAGGCTCTGATCCCCCCCCCCCCCCCCCCCGCAGAAGTTGTAAATAAAGGCAGTACTTGGCAGTTGTTTTTTTAATACTCACTTTCATGAGATTTTATCTTTATCAAATCACTTAGTCTTTGATTTGTTTATAACTTAGCAGGTTCTTTGCAAAATGTCACTTCCCTAGAAAGGCATCTGGTTCCTTGTCAACTTCTCACTTTTTTAAACTCGTACCCCCAGGGTATCTTTTATTTCAAGGGTCCACCATCATGCTGGTTGACTCCTGCCTCCTTTTCTTGATGTACCAAACCCCCCATAAGTCTGTTCAAACCATTTTTACATTTTTAATATAGCCTAAGTATTACAGACATCTGATCTCTTAGACATGATAATCAGACATGTTGATTGGGACCTAAAACAACAGATCACGTCCTCCAAAACTGTCCTAAAAATGACATATCAAGGTAAAACCTCTGGCCATATGAAACATTGGTGCAAGCCAAACTTTATGAGTCGCTGAGAGAATTACAAAAGACAGATAAATTCACAATAGAGACAACATTGCAGATATAATCTATTTCAAGAAATGTACATGACACAATGTCTGCATGCCAGACCTCTTTGATGTTCACATTCTGAAGAATGCTGCATTATATAACATACAATATCTGTTCTCCCTGTGTGGGTTCCGGGGCCCTATTGAGGGAAAACAAGAATAGATCCACTGCCTGACCAAAAGGATGTCGTAAGAGTCGACTAATTGGGAGCTCCCTTCGAAGTCGGCGTGCACCTGCCTGAGAGGTAAGTAAACCAACAGCTGCATGCAAATGTCATATCTATAAACCGGATCCCACGCAACACTCAGGTTCTTGAAAAGGACTCAAAGTCCAGAGAAACAACCAGAACTATCCGCCAGAGTTTACAGCCCGTGAATGTGAAGAAGAAGAAGGATTGTCTTATCTTCCTAATTGTGTGTCCAATGCAGTGTTTTATAATGGAATATACAAATAATTGTAACAAATGACACCTGCTGCATTACTTCTGCTATGGTTGATCTTTGTCTACCAAGTTCATCAGCTGACTTTCCCGTGTTTCTCCAGGAACATCGGGTGTTACTGACAGGCACCCCCTTACAAAATAACACAGAGGAGCTGTACAGTTTGCTGAACTTCTTGAGCCCCAACAAGTTCAACTGTTCCGAGAGCTTCATCAAAGAGTTTGGTGATTTGAAGACTGAGGAACAAGTGGATTCACTAAAAGAGGTTTCTGCTTTGTTTTTTGAGCTTTGTTTGATCTTGTTTAATTGTATTATTTCCTCATGTATGTTCCTTTGTGGGTAAATCAATAAGAGATCCACTGCCTTCCCAACAAGCAGTTGAAGGCATTTGTCAAAATGCATCTGCCTGAGAGGCAACGAACCAACAGTCTGCATACAAATAAGCAAGATCTGTCAAAACGGATGCTTACGCAACACCCTGTTTCTGAAATAACACTTGAAGTCTGGAGGTGGGCAAATTAACAGAATTTTCTGCCAGTTTACAGTTGTTGGAACGCGAAGAAGAATTGTGATGTTGAACAAACGCTAAAATTTTATTTTTGTAACAGAGAAAATAAACATCTGTATGGTTATAGCTTCAACTCTTACCTGTTGTGTATATGTTTCACTATTAGCTGTTGGTTATGTGGTCTATTTTGGCTGCCTTTACTTACCAAGTAATTTTCTAATACCCATAGTCATACAGAACTTTTTGTAAGCTATCTTCTCCTGCTTCATCATCGAGAGCCCATAAGGTTCATCGCTGTAGATCTCACCTGCCTCCATTCATCTCTCTGATTGTCCTTCTCTTTTCCATTGGTGACACCAAGTGTTTGTACGTCTGGATCTTTTATGTCCATCATCTTATTGGTCTGCCACATGATCTACAACTGTTCATCTGCCTTATGCACAGTGTTTTCACCGTTTGTAAGTTTTAAAAATGTGAATTACAAAAAGGAGAGCTGGCGAGAGAGCCAGTTTTCTTCAGGCACGGTATGATAAGATTGGCGTTTATTTAGCACAAGACTTCCTACATGATGATGAAATGATTAGTATAAAGTGGCGGCTCAGTCACTGTGGTGGTAGCTATGATTGCCTATGTGAAGCTTTGCAAAAGTCCTGTATCCTCTTGTCACTATTGTACATTCTCAAATGGTCTGAATTCATGCAAATCTGCTGCTGCTGCTTTGTAACCCATATAGTTGGTCTTAATGGGTTGAGGTAACATACAGTTCACAGTGAGGCATCTGGATGTAACCAGAGGGTCTGGCTGGCTCACTACGCTCAGAGGAAAGGCAAGACGGACATAAAACCAGATTATGACTGGTACCATAAGTATTGGAACTCTGCTCTGGCTTCTGAAGATGAGGACGGAGCATGCATGAGAATGCCCTGAGTGCTGTGATGTCAGTTCTTGACTCAGCTGAACACAGTTTACAGTGCTCCAGTTACATAGACAGCACAGTATTTGTTGTGATGATATTTGTTTTCCAGTCCCGTGCCAATGGGAGCCAACATCTTCTGACTTCGATGTCTAAGTATTCTTTGTTGGATTCCTCCTCCAGTAGGCAGATTGCCTTTCTGAGCTACTTAGCTCTGCATGCCCACATTTTCTCTTAAGCTTTCTTGTCCTGACAGGGACTTCCACAAGGCAGTGGTGATTTGGAATTTGGTGATGTCCTTCACAAAGATGAATTGCCCAAAAGGGTTTATGAGCCTCATCAACCAATGTCTAGTTTTGCTCACTTTGTTTAGTCAGTCACCAAGACTTGCCAGGGGTGTGAAATGTAGAGCTAGGTTCAAAAACAAAAAATGTGCCTAAGGATTTGCAACCAACCAGGAGGATGTGGCTGTCCCCCTTCTCAAAGAACTATCCTTCTGTCTTTTCTCAACACCGCACTTACACAGCAACACCATTGAGACATACAGTACCCATGACCTTTTACATGTTTTGATTGTTACCCTACATCTGGGTCCCAAGTTTAAGGGGGTGGGGAGAATAGACCAACTGCCCCTTTGACAAGCATATTGTCAAGTTGACTAATTAGAGCCATTTATATCCAAGTTGGAGTGTTTATGCCTGAGAGATAAGCAACCAGCAGTCTGCATGCAAATAAACTAGATCTGTAAAACGGACGTGCATGCAAAAATCAAGTTCTTGAATTACCAGCATGTTAATGTTAATAAGTAGATTATTATTACATGTGCTAAGTGAGGATTCTTATATTTCTCTCTCTGTCTTTCCATCTTTACTAGATCTTGAAGCCAATGATGTTGCGACGTCTTAAGGAGGATGTGGAAAAGAACTTGGCCCCGAAAGAGGAGACTATCATTGAGGTGGAGCTGACAAACATCCAGAAGAAGTACTACAGAGCCATTCTGGAGCGCAACTTTCAGTTCCTGTCCAAGGGCACCAACAGTGCGGTGCCAAGTCTGATGAACACCATGATGGAACTGAGGAAGTGTTGCAACCACCCCTTTCTCATTAATGGTACCTTGTATTTTCTATATTATGTGCCAGTCTACTGTTCCTTTCTTTTTCCCTCTCTTTTTACTCCCTTCCTTCTCCCTCCTTCTCTGCCTTTATTCCTTTCTTCCTTTTATCCTTTTTTTTCGTTCGTTCCTTTATTCTTTATCTGGTCTTTCTTTATCAGCTCCTGTTTGTCTTCTTACCTTAATTCTTGCCCTTCTAACTTGCCTTCCTACATTTCTTCTGCCATCTGTAGCTCCTACCTGCATCTTCTTCCTCACTATAGAACCATCTTCCAATACAAATCAAAAATACCACTAGCTCCTACACGTACAGTTGGAAACTATTTAAATTATGAGCGCATCTTACCTGCCCTTTTCAAAGATAAAAGTTTGTTGAAGTTTGTGTGCATATTTCCCCTAGATTAGGATTATTATAAACAGTTGCTATGATTTTCTGTGGGTGGAAATGTGGGCATAAAATATTAGTTCATGTTGATTATTAACTGTTAATTGATTGATTTAATTCAAAAACCACCACCACAGCACATGGTGCATTCCCATAAGCGCTCTGTCCCCATCTTAAGCAGCCAGCAAAGAGTTCCGATACTTATGGCACCAATAGCATTCTGATCAAGCGTCTTGTCTTGCCTTCCCTCTGCCAGTACCTCTTGTCACTTCCCCCTGCATCAGTCTCACCAGACTGGTGATTCATCTGCTTCTCCGAACTGTCTCTTATCATGCATCAGTATTCCACCAAGCTATGCAGATCCAGCCAGTCTGTCCGCCTGTTCATTTCCCAACACACCGGCACACACTGGTGAAAAAATCCAGATAAAACTCCTCACCCATGTCCTCCGCAGCGAGGCATGCCACTCAGCACGAAGCATGCCTGTCTTGATCTTCCTCAGCATGCTTTCTGAGTCAGTTACAATCATGATGCTGGATGTTGTGTTATCATATGCTGGGCTCTTCTGCACCAAACGTCGACCGATAACTTGTGCTAAGAATCCCAAGCACCTCCTTTGCCTCTTGTCACTGAACCCTTTGTGTAAATGATTAGATCTTGTGAGCGAGCATTATCTTGAAATAATTGCTAAATATCCACCTCTGTGGCACCTGCTGGCCAGTCTCTGCACTCCCAGCTCAATGTAATTATGACTCTACACAAATCTGACTGTTCCTCAGGCACTTTGACCCAACTCCTCTCCTCGCCTAATGTTGTCAAGGATGCAAACCTGTCTGGTTGTGTCTTCTGCCAGAGCCATCCATGACTTTCCTCTTATCAGCTGCTGACCCTTAACTGCACCCAGAGCTTTGTGCAAAGGGTGGTCTGTGTCTGCAGCTACCCTGAGATATGACTTCGCCTGCAGCACTGTTAACTGTTAAAAGATGTATGAATGACATGATAAATGAAATTAATGATATTAGTAGGGCAAAATGTTAGACAGGCCTGCATGCTAAAATTCCGATGCCTTTGGAAATAAAGCTCATTTGTCCACACCTTCATATTTCTGTACTCATGTCGATGTCCTCCTTTGATTTTCGTGTCCTTGTTTGTTTATTAAATCTGCCTAAAAATAACAATAGTGCCCTAGAATAAAAATTTTGCATGTTTTTTAAAAAAAATGTTTTAATTTTAATGTTAAATGCGTTGATCAGATTTGTCTTCTTCAAAGCGTGATCTTGACTGTCAGGTGGGGCCAGCCTAAATATAAACCAAATAAGGTCTTAGGAAGTCTGCCTGTTGCGCCATTAACATTTAGTGAAACCTTACTTTGTTTTGCCCAAACTTTATAGGTTAATGCCTTTGTTTGCTACTGTCTTTATTACTATCCTCACTGTTTATTAACCAGGAGCCGAAGACAAGATCCTGGAAGAGGCCCGTGAGAAGCACTACGACGACCATGAGATCATGGTCACCTCCATGGTACAGTCAAGCGGCAAGATGGTGCTGATGGATAAACTGTTGCCCAGGCTGAAGTCTGCCGGACACAAGGTGCTTATCTTCTCACAGATGATACGGGTGCTTGATATCATTGAGGATTACATGATTCAGAAAAAGTGAGTCAACTTTCCGCGTTAGGTAACTTCAACATTGTCATGTTGAGTTCCACATTTCTTACAATGTGGGTTCTCAGACCCCTGTTTTTTTTTTGGGGGGGGGGGGGGGGTGGGGGGGGTTAAAAGGATTGACCCCTTGCCCTGTAGCAAGTATGGTGTAAAAACTGACTTTTACAGTGCTTGTTGAGATTGGACGTGTTGAGTTGAAAGGCAGAGATATCGCAGCGTTGCTGTAAACCACAAAATATGCCTTCTACTTTTGTAAGGTGAGCTCAGAAGAAGAAAAAACCTTAATGAATGCATTTTAATTTATTGCTTCTTTGCTGTATAGTATTGTCATGAATAGTCCTTCATCATTAGTTCTGCTTTTCTTTTTCTTCTGCCTTTCTAATCCCCAGTAGAGCATACAACCAACTCACGGCAAGTTAGTTTATCCTTTGCTGTCACATGCAGCTCTATCTATGTCCTCTCCATCTTTTTAACTTCTCTAATTCTCCTTGTATTGTTTATTAGTCTTCCTTTAATTTCTTTGCCCCTGTGGGTTCCAGTGTAAAGACATCTGCTTTTGTAGTCACTGTTATTGTTTCCTTTTTTTCTTTCTGCTGCCTCCTCCTCCCCCCTCTCTCCGCAAATGGAGCATAACTGGTTTGAAAAAAAAATTCACACACTGTGGACCAGAAACAGTTAAGTAATCGGCACTTACAGAGTTGGGTAATTTGTCAGGTCTGTGATAAGAATTGAAAAACAACAGCATATTATCTTTGGCATAATCAGTCAACATATGATGAATTTCTTGCCACCCAGAGTTTAACTCAAGAACTGTGTAGCAGGGTTATAATCGGTCTGCTGCAGAAAGTTTCTATGGGACAGTGGGCACACATCTGTGGACTCTAGCTTGGGGACACCAGCAACTATTGACCAGTGATGTTTTTCCTTGTAGGTACTTGTATGAACGACTAGATGGACGAATCCGAGGCACTGTTCGTCAGGAGGCTATTGACCGCTTCTCCAAACCAGACTCTGACCGGTTTGCCTTCCTGCTGTGTACCAGAGCTGGAGGGTTGGGCATCAACCTGACAGCTGCGGACACTGTGGTCATCTATGACTCTGATTGGAACCCTCAGAATGATCTACAGGTGAGAGAATATCATTTGTTTTTATAGCATTTCACATTCGATTAAAAGAAGAAGTAAAGATCCCCCTTCACGTTTTTAGGTGCATCTGGCATATGGAAAGAGCATCCATATTTGTACAGACCAAACGGCACTAGGTAGGTAATGTGGTCAACATTACGCCGGCCGTCTTTACTTCCCCAGGACAACCATCCTGGTACCCATTTTAGGCTGCGTCAACCTGTGACGCCCCAAACAATGATGAAAATCCACTCAGCCAGCAGTGGGTTTTGATTGCGGTACCTTAGAATCACAAGTTGGACTCCCAGCGCCTAAGCCAGGGATGCCACACACATTTGACTCTTTAACAAATATTTTTAGCTAGCCTTTGTTAATGTCATATTGGGTTTCTTTAGTCTCTCTTCCGCTGTCCACCCCTCTTTTTCTTGGTAGGCCACTTGTTTGCTTTCGGTTTTCAGGCTCTAACTGCTAGGAGATTTGGTTTTATTCTGACCAGATGACCAGATTGCTTGAATCTTTGATGTCCTGTGAAATCATTTGCTAGTGATGTGGACATTTGCTAGTGGTGTGGACACTTGCTAGTGGTGTGGACATTTGCTAGTGGTGTGGACATTTGCTAGTGGTGTGGACATTTGCTAGTGGTGTGGACATTTGCTAGTGGTGTGGACATTTTGCTAGTGGTGGGGACATTTGCTAGTGGTGTGGACATTTTGCTAGTGGTGTGGACATTTGCTAGTGGTGTGGACATTTTGCTAGTGGTGTGGACATTTGCTAGTGGTGTGGACATTTGCTAGTGGTGTGGACATTTGCTAGTGATGTGGACATTTGCTAGTGGTGTGGACATTTGCTAGTGGTGTGGACATTTGCTAGTGATGTGGACATTTGCTAGTGGTGTGGACATTTGCTAGTGGTGGGGACATTTGCTAGTGGTGGGGACATTTGCTAGTGGTGGGGACATTTGCTAGTGGTGGGGACATTTGCTAGTGGTGGGGACATTTGCTAGTGGTGGGGACATTTGCTAGTGGTGGGGACATTTGCTAGTGGTGGGGACATTTGCTAGTGGTGGGGACATTTGCTAGTGGTGGGGACATTTGCTAGTATTGGGGACATTTGCTAGTGGTGGGGACATTTGCTAGTGGTGTGGACATTTGCTAGTGGTGTGGACTCTTGCTAGTGGTGTGGACATTTGCTCGTGATGTGGACATTTGCTAGTGAGTTCCTTCTTTTCCTGAGCTGACCCTTAGAAAAGTGGGCTGCACAGATTTTGTGGGTTACCGCTTAGCTACCATTATTCATAGTTTATCTTTGGTAACTTAATTTTTCAGCTGTATTTCTTATGTGTCTCATTTCACAAGTTGTGATTTTGCATTTTTCAAGGGGTGTTTATGCCTGACGTTGTAGCAGAAAGGTGGCACAATTAGCACATTTTTAGCTGCTTTTTTGTGTGTGCTTGTTGTTATTTTGATGTCTGAAGAGTGGCGTTATTTGATAATTTATGTTGTTTTCCGTATTCTAGTTTCTGTTTCTGCGTAAAATCTTATACTCTTTGAGGTTTGAACAATGGATCAGTATTATGGGATACAGGTAGTAATCTACAATTGCTCCGTTCCTCTTCTAACGGAAGTCCGAGTCCGAAGAAGCCCAGCACAGTGCACAGGCTCTGTAGCACCGGCGAGGTACCTGAAATACTTCGGGCAGATTTTTAGCTGCTAGATTTTTTTTATATACACGAGCAAAAATGCAGACGTACGTCCGATATCACTACACAGAGACTAAAGTGAATTACTAGAAGCCCACCAAAAAAAAAAAAAAAAAAAAAAAAAAAATAAGCCCTTAATGGGGATTGAACCCGGAACCTCCAGCAATTGAGGCGGACACCATGCCTGAAGACCACACAGCTCCCATTCTCACACTCTCAGATCATGTACTAGGTCCTTTCCAGAATGTTGCTGTCATCACAGTCTGCCTGTAAGAAATTTGGTCTCTCTTCAGCTCTCCTGCCTCGTGTACTTTCATCTTCAAGGAGTCACTTAAATCTACATGCTGATCGGCTCCTGCCCTACCTTCCTTGTACCGTGCCTTCTATTAATTTGTTCAGTCCACCATGGCCCTTGATATGACAAAAATATTTTAGCTGTATTTTGCCACAGGAAAGCTGCATTCTACTCCAGCAGATTAAAAATGATCTTATATGACAGCTGCAAAATGAAATAATCTGGTGTTTTTGTATTCCAGGCTCAAGCTCGCTGCCACAGAATCGGACAGAGCAAGTCGGTGAAGGTGTACAGGCTGATCACTCGTAACTCCTACGAGAGGGAGATGTTTGACAGAGCCTCTTTGAAACTGGGTCTGGATAAAGCAGTGCTGCAATCCATGACAGCGGATAAACCTATTAATCCTGTAAGTTGTGTTTCTTCATTAAGCATGTCATTTGTTTGACACCCTTTGATCTTTGTTTCAGTGGTTCATCGCCTGGCTACTGAGTTGGGTGCTTGGCGCAGTACTGTGAGCTGCGATTTCACCTGAAATTTGTTTTGTATGTGTCTGGGGCATATTATTGACTGTACTTAATGGCAGGAGGGTGATTCTGTTTAGAATGGCATGCACTTTTGCGGATGCAGTGCCAGCTTGAGTGTTTTCCTGGCTGACCCAGCCTGCCTCGTGGCACCAAGCAGGTCTGATTTCATGATCAGAAGTCCTGATGGTTATCTGTTCCAGTTTGCATCAAGTTAAAGACCTGTTTTACATCTTTTGGCATATAGTGCTATAAATATATTTTTTGGACCACTAGGGTTATGTCACCTTTACTTCCTAGGACTTTACCTGATATACATTTGTCGATCTGGGAGCCAAGGTAAATTTTGTAAAAGCTTTCTAATAATGGACGCTTGGCTTTTGTGTCAATCCAGCCTAAAATAGCCTGGGGAGTAAAAACGAATGGCCATACCACCTATCAAGTGCCAATTGGTCTGTATAAAATATAAGCCTAACAGAATATGCTCCATGTACCAAAGGCATGAACAGGGTCTGTATATCTTTATTTTAGATTTTTAAATTAAATATTTCTGGTTGAAGTTGAGAGGATCTACTTCGTTGCACCGGGTTTATTCTCTTATGGCTCAGTCTTCACTCTGCAGAACGACTAGCAACCAGCTGAAAGTGTCACTCAAAGCCTTTATCTTCTTAGCTCCGGCAATGATCCCCAGAAATCTGTTTAAAAAGTGTATTCGTCAAAGAGTCCGTGAAATAAACCAACAACTTTCAGAGCACAAGGCAAACGACCTGACCTATGCACTACAGAGACACCTCTATAAATAAAGAAACAGTCATAGAGACTGTTAACTGGCAACGGCGACCAAGTCACCCATTGGCTCGCCAGTTGACGACTTTGTCCCCACTTGAGACAGTATTTGGATCTGTCTCTGATCGCATCAACACTGCAGGAGTCCTTTTCAGTGCTCTTGGTCTCGTGCAGTGCAAAGCCATTTTATGTGGTGCACATAACCTAGTGACAGTTATAACCTAATGCTCCCCCTGTGGGGATGCTGGTTGAATCAACAGTTTTTTTTCTCCGGCAAAGTACCTTCCTGCGTCTGTTTGGTAGTTGGGATGTGATCATTGCACTCCGGACATGTCTATAGGGGCTCAGATCCTTCCCTCAGTATGAACCCCCGCGCCCTGCGACTAATAGTGCGGTTTTTTAAAAAAAATTGATTGATAAGTCTTTTTGTGTGCCCAGTTTTTGTGATCAGATACATTACTGCAGGTGTTTTTCTTTGTATGCCCAGTTTTTGTGATCAGATACATTACTGCAGGTGTTTTTCTTTGTATGCCCAGTTTTTGTGAGCAGTTACATTACTGCAGGTGTTTTTCTTTGTATACCCAGTTTTTGTAGTCAGATAAATTACTCCAGGCGTTTTTCTTTGTATGCCCAGTTTTTGTAAGCAGTTACATTACTGCAGGTGTTTTTCTTTGTATACCCAGTTTTTGTAGTCAGATAAATTACTCCAGGCGTTTTTCTTTGTATGCCCAGTTTTTGTAAGCAGTTACATTACTCCATGTGTTTTTCTTTGTATGCCCAGTTTTTGTTGTCAGATACATTACTGCAGGCGTTTTTCTCTCTTATAGGCCAGCCAGTTGTCCAAGAAAGAGATCGAAGACTTGCTGAAGAAGGGAGCCTATGGTGCTCTCATGGAAGATGACAACACTGGGGACACCTTCTGTGAGGAGGATATTGATCAGATCCTCCAAAGAAGAACCAAGGTTATCCAGATAGAATCTGAAGGCAAGGGATCCACATTTGCCAAGGCAAGTCTTTGTGTGATGTTTCATAACAAACAGCCAAGGCTATAAATGTTGTGAGATCATTCACTAACATAACTGGCATGAGATGTTTTGAATAAACATCTTCTGCATGGCTGACTGTAAATTCATTCTTCTCCTAGCGCTCATTGGTGGAAAGTATTTGCCCACTTCTAGATTTAAGTCTTGTTCCAGAACTTGAGTTTTGCATGCACAGCTGTTTTACAGATCTGGCTTTTTTGTATGCAGACTCTTGATTCCTTACCTTTCAGGCAGATGCACCTCGACCTTTTAGGAAACACCACTAATTAGTTGACTTTTTGTGACATGCTGTGGCTTAGGCGTTGCGAACACGCTTTGTAATGCTAGAGTGCAGGCTTCGATCCTAGCTGCAGACGATTTGTCTTGGCGTTGGTTTCGACAGCTGTACTGAGCTGACCATTCAGAAGCAGTGGCAAACTACAGAACCTTAAATGTGCCTAGAAAAAAACCACAACAGATAAAAAATGCTTGGGTTGATTCTGCAACGTCCTGCAAAGAATACCCAACCAACTTTGTTAGGGCGCTGTGGTTCTGTATCACCCCCCCCCCCTCCCCCCCTCCCAGGGACAGGAAGAAGAAGGGGGGCTGGAACCCACACATACAAATGTTATAATCACTATAGTCATTTTAAAACTAAATTCTGTATAAATAAAATTCGTTACCTGCTTCACACAACTGTCATGAGGAAACTGAATAGTTAACCTGCTTCACACAACTGTCATGAGGAAACTGAATAGTTAACCTGCTACACACAACTGTCATGAGGAAACTGAATAGTTAACCTGCTTCACACAACTGTCATGAGGAAACTGAATAGTTACTGCTTCACACAACTGTCATGAGGAAACTGAATAGTTAACCTGCTTCACACAACTGTCATGAGGAAACTGAATAGTTAACCTGGTTCACACAACTGTCATGAGGAAACTGAATAGTTAACCTGGTTCACACAACTGTCATGAGGAAACTGAATAGTTAACCTGGTTCACACAACTGTCATGAGGAAACTGAATAGTTAACCTGGTTCACACAACTGTCATGAGGAAACTGAATAGTTACTGCTTCACACAACTGTCATGAGGAAACTGAATAGTTAACCTGGTTCACACAACTGTCATGAGGAAACTGAATAGTTAACCTGCTCCACACAACTGTCATGAGGAAACTGAATAGTTAACCTGCTTCACACAACTGTCATGAGGAAACTGAATATTGTTGACTCCACTTACCGTTGCTTTAATCTAACCAGGCAGTGTACCTCATCACTACACATATTGCCATTAACATACCACTGCCATACACTTAATATTTTACTAGGTTACTTTGTGTGCCATTACCATAGATAATGGATAGTTGACATCTTTACTGCAGCATATACCATTGCCACTGACAAACTGGACAGTATTCTGTTTAGTTTACACAGACTTGGTATGATAAATTAGACAATATACTGTTACATTTCATGGACTTGGTGTGATAAATTGGACAATATATTGTTTTGCCTAGACTTGGAATGATAAACTGGACTGTAAACTAATTATTTCACATAGAATTAGTAAAATTGTAAACTGGACTGTATACTAAATAATTGACATAGACTTCTTAGAATGATAAACTGGACAGTTTACCTGTTTTACTTGATGTGATTGAACTGGTCAGTTTAACTTGTGTTATCTCTGTAGGCCAGCTTCACCATGACAGAAAACAGAAGTGACATTGATATCAATGACCCCGAGTTCTGGCAGAAGTGGGCCAAGAAAGCAGACATTGATACAGAGGCTAACAACAAAAAGGTCTGTAATCTAGATTTTCTCTTTTTCTCTGTCTTTCTTGCCTTATTTAATCAGCCCCAATTGGTGGTGAATTGATACATGACAAGGCAGATGTGGTCAAGGCCCTTTGGGAACAAGCAATGGAATCAGTAGAGAAACAAGATTCTGGCTTGGAGAGAATCAGGCACCTGGGTGTAACCAGACGGTCCGGCCGGCTCACTGCATTCAGAGGAAAGGCAAGACAGACATATAACCAGATTGTGTCCGGTACTATCAGTATTAAACTCTGTTCTGGCTACTGAAGATGAGGACGAAGCACACATGGGAATGCTTCTAATACTGTGATAACTCAACTCTTGCCTTTTTTTAAAGAGCAAATTGCTCCTGATGTGTACACACAATTAAGGTTTGTGAGTGGCTGAGGATGGGAAAGAAGTGAAAGAATGTTAGAAGGGTGAGTGGCAGACATAATCTGTTTAAATCACAACTAATTACTAGCATCATGGGGGTTATAAACTGACAAGATTGGAGCATATAGAGAGAATAACAGATGACAGAAACTGCATGCTCAAAAGAGATGAATGGGGTTAGACCATGACTGTGATTGAGAAGAAGAAGATGGTGGAGAGATAATATACGTGTACTTACAAACACTTGGAGCAGGTAATAGGGGTAGGTGAGTAAGGATCCCAAATTATCGAGAAATGTCTGATGTTGTTAGTTTCGTGGTTGGACTGTTGTGACAGATTCTTGTGGCCCTAACCCTAACACTCAAACAAGTGTAGCATTTAAAACCTGTGCCTTCCTATTTTCTCTTCTCTAGTCCTGTTATGCCACTCAGCTTTTCAAGGGGCATCAGATGCAAGCCTAGGTATTTTGAAAATAAGAATCAACATCATAGCCCTTAGGCCACTCCCATAAGCACTCCATCCCCATCTTCTGCAGCAGGCGAAGTTCTGATGGCACCAGTAACTGTCTGATTGTACATCCATCTTGCCTTGTCCTTGAGTTCAAGCGTCGGCCAGATAATTCTTCGCAGTGCCATTCTCCTCAGACCTCCTTGGTATGTGCTACATAGATGCTGATATTTACAACTTCAGATATTCGGTGGGTCCATCACTTGCAGTGTCGACCTCTAGCTCCGTTATGTCTGACATGTCTCTCTGTGGTGCACTGTCTGGTGATAGTTTTGAAACATGTCTGATGCATTTGATCTGTTGTCTCCTAATGTAGTTTAATACCAGTTCCGCCCCACCTTGTTCCCGACATATAATTATGCCTGAATACGTAAAAATAAAAGTTTGTGTTTTTGTTTGTTTTACAACTTTGTATATCTGATTAGTTTTATATAAAACATGCAAAACAAATTTCTAATGTTAAAGAATGGATTTTGCAGAGTGAGCTAATCTTAGCAGAGCCACGCCAGCGTCGACAAACAAATCGCTATGGCAACGATGAAACAGCCCTGGAGATCAGTGACCTTGAAACATCGTCAGGAACCGAAGACGAGAATGGGAGCAAGATTTGCAAGAAGATGCGGAAAACTCGTAGCAGAACCAGGAATGCTGATGAAGACTTTGATTATGCAAATGAGATTCCAGGAGAGAAGTACGATAGGTCCGAATGTTTCAAGGTGGAGAAACTGCTTCTGGTTTATGGGTAAGTTGTGTACGTGTTTGTTGGATAGAGAGAGGCATGTGTGTTGGATGTTGAAGTGTTGTGTGTTTGTTGGATAGAGAGAGGTATGTGTGTGTTGGATGTTGAAGTGTTGTATGTTTGTTGGGTAGAGAGAGGCATGTGTATTGGATGTTGAAGTGTAGTGTGTTTGTTGGATAGAGAGAGGCATGTGTGTTGGATGTTGAAGTGTTGTATATTTGTTGGATAGAGAGAGGCATGTGTGTTGGATGTTGAAGTGTTGTGTGTTTGTTGGACAGAGAGAGGCGTGTGTTGGATGTTGAAGTATTGTGTGTTTGTTGGATAGAGAGAGAGGCTTGTGTATTGGATGTTGAAGTGTTGTGTGTTTGTTGGATAGAGAGAGGCGTGTGTGTTGGATGTTGAAGTGTAGTGTGTTTCTTGGATAGAGAGAGGCGTGTGTGTTGGATGTTGAAGTGTTGTGTGTTTGTTGGATAGAGAGGCATGTGTGTTGGATGTTGAAGTGTTGTATATTTGTTGGAAAGAGAGAGGCATGTTTATTGGATGTTGAAGTGTTGTATATTTGTTGGAAAGAGAGAGGCATGTGTGTTGGATGTTGAAGTGTTGTGTGTTTGTTGGATAGAGAGAGGCATGTTTATTGGATGTTGAAGTGTTGTGTGTTTGTTGGATAGAGAGAGGCATGTTTATTGGATGTTGAAGTGTTGTGTGTTTGTTGGATAGAGAGAGGCATGTTTATTGGATGTTGAAGTGTTGTGTGTTTGTTGGATAGAGAGGCATGTGTGTTGGATGTTGAAGTGTTGTATATTTGTTGGAAAGAGAGAGGCATGTGTGTTGGATGTTGAAGTGTTGTGTGTTTGTTGGATAGAGAGAGGCATGTTTATTGGATGTTGAAGTGTTGTGTGTTTGTTGGATAGAGAGAGGCGTGTGTGTTGGATGTTGAAGTGTTGTGTGTTTATTGGATAGAGAGAGGCATGTGTATTGGATGTTGAAGTGTTGTGTGTTTGTTGGATACAAGGATGTAGCTTGGAAATATAGGTGTTTGTTAGGTATAGATATATACATGTGTGTGTGTGTGTGTTAGTTAAGAGTTGTATGTATTGGATATAGAGATGTATGTATTTGTTGGATATATATATATTTGATGGATGTATTTGTGTGTGTGTGTTTATTGTATTCAGAGGAGTGTCTGTATATTATAGAGGTGTATTTGTTGGATATAGAGATGTGTGTTGGTTGGCTATACAGGTGTATGTGTTAGTTGTATTTAGAGGTGTGTCTTCATTTGTTTAAGAGGTGTATTTGTTAAATATAGAGACATTGTATTTGTTTGATATACAGTTGTGTATGTTTGTTGTATTCAGAGAAGTGTTTGTGACGGTGACCTGAGATGTAGTATCCTGTTTGTTAGCTAGATAGAACTAAGTCGAATACAGAAGAAAAAGGATATAGATGATGCATTTCTAAAGCTTTGCCCCCTTTACTGAAAAAAAAAAATCTTTGGCGCTTGCGGATTTTAAAAGAGTTTGTGCTAGGGAAGATAAAGTGACATTTATCAGTGGTGTATTCTGTGCTAGGGAAGATATAATGACATTTATCAGTGGTGTATTCTGTGCTAGGGAAGATATAATGACATTTATCAGTGGTGTATTCTGTGCTGGGGAAGATATAATGACATTTATCAGTGGTGTATTCTGTGCTGGGGAAGATATAATGACATTTATCAGTGGTGTATTCTGTGCTGGGGAAGATATAATGACATTTATCAGTATTGTATTCTGTGCTGGGGAAGATATAATGACATTTATCAGTGGTGTACTTTGAGCTAGGAAAGATATAGTGACATTTATCAGTGATGTATTTTGTGCAGGGAAAGATATAGTGACATTTATCAGTGATGTATTTTGTGCTAGGGAAGATACAGTGACGTTTATCAGTGATGTATTTTGTGCTGGAGAAGATATAGTGACATTTATCAGTGATGTATTTTGTGCTGGAGAAGATATAGTGACATTTATCAGTGATGTATTTTGTGCTGGAGAAGATATAGTGACATTTATCAGTGATGTATTTTGTGCTGGGGAAGATATGGTGACATTTATCAGTGGTGTACTTTGTGATGGGGAAGATATAGTGACATTTATCAGTGATGTATTTTGTGATGGGGAAGATCTAGTTACATTTATCAGTGATGTATTTTGTGCTGGAGAAGATATAGTGACATTTATCAGTGATGTATTTTGTGCTGGGGAAGATATAGTGACATTTATCAGTGATGTATTTTGTGCTGGAGAAGATATGGTGACATTTATCAGTGATGTATTTTGTGCTGGAGAAGATATAGTGACATTTATCAGTGATGTATTTTGTGCTGGGGAAGATATGGTGACATTTATCAGTGGTGTACTTTGTGATGGGGAAGATATAGTGACATTTATCAGTGATGTATTTTGTGCTGGGGAAGATATGGTGACATTTATCAGTGATGTATTTTCTGCTTGGGAAGATATAGTGACATTTATCAGTGATATATTTTGTGCTGGGGAAAATATAGTGACATTCATCATTTATCAGTGATGTATTTTGTGCTGGGGAAAATATAGTGACATTCATCAGTAATGTATTTTGTGCTGGGAAAGATATAGTGACATTTATCATTTTATGCTGGGGAAGACAGTGACATTTATCATTAGCATATTTTGTACTGGGGAAGATAGTGACATTTATAACTGATGAGATTTTTGATAGGGACAAATACAAGATTTTTCAGTGGTGTATTTTGTACTCTGGCAGCTGGGGAAGATGGTGTGACCTGTTGAAACATGCACATTTCAAGCGGAGGCTGACAGAAGACGACGTCCTCATGATAGCCAGAGCTATTGTAAGTTGTACATGTTGATGAATCAGTTTACATTTATTTTTAAAGGATCAACCCCCTTTGTAACAGGTTTGATTCCATACAGATGGTCTCACTCCTTTAATTGGCTAATCGCCTACTCTCAGTTGTACAAACACTGTAGCTCCAACGATGATCCCCACAATTTTATATATGTCACTTCTTCTTTTGTTGTTTGAAATAAACTGTCCTTATTTGCAGTGCTGTCTCTAGTATGAGCTTCACTGTTTTTGTAATTCACTTAGCAGCCCGTAAAGTTTTGCACTCATTAGTGTCTCTCTTGGGCAGAAGTTTTGCCTGAAAATGTTGTATTTGTGAAAGCCTTGAAGGATGTGATCTGTTGTCTCAGGTGCCAATCCTCATGTACATATGGCTGATTCACCAACTTTAAATTGTGTGTACATGAGGCTGAAAAGTTGATCGTGCCCTTTTCTAAGGCGTAAAACATAGGTCACTAGGAAATTGGTTAAAAATGTATACATGTACATTAACACTATTTCTCTCTAAAATAAGTAGATTTATAAAGGTAACAATGAGTAAATGTGTGGCAGAATAAAGTATATATACATTCCTGGGACCTGAAAAACAATTTTGAGTGACATTATGTTAGTTATGATAAATTGATGACCATGAGTTTGAATTAAAATGTTTAACATAATTGTATGATCTTTCTCTACAGCTTGCACATTCCCTCAAATTTTACAAAGGAGATGAGAAAATCAAAAATTTTATTTGGGACCTGGTGTCGATAAAACAGGAAGGTGAACTGAAGAACCATTCAGGTGAATGTCCCATCTGTCTGTCATTTGTTGGTCACATGGCTAGGCTTTTCATACGTTGACCTTTGTTAGTGGTTTTGTTTTGTTATATCACATCTGTCTGTTATTTGTTGGTCACATGGCTAGGCTTTTCAAACATTGACCTTTGTTAGTACTGGTGTTTTGTTCATTCACATCAGTAGTATAATATAGTGGAGGGCTTCGAGCAAGGCAGGGCACTTGAGATGCCTTGGTCATCCACTGCACCTGGGTCAATTTCCAATCGTCTTCACATTGTCCTGCCGTTGCATCAAGATGGATACAGGCGAGAAAATGAGGTCGACGATTTGCGAACTCTTCCTCACTTAAATCTTTCTGGTCTTCATCACTTGAGATGGACGAACAACAACAACAACACAATATAGAATTTCACTTCTGTTATTGTTTTTTGCTAGTTCCATGTTATATGTAGCCCATTGTCAGGGGCTTCCTGTATTTCTCAAGTGCTTCTAGGGCGGCTTGGGTGATGAATTTACTCATCAGTTTGCAAGTTGCAGCTGCACCTCTAGCATTGCCAGTCTGGTATCTGCAATAATCTGTCCTAAAATTCGTTCTGTCTTGTTTTGTAGTGGCTTGCTAGGCCCAGTACCTGGCAGGGCTAGAAGCAAAAAACCTGGTTGGTGTCTGTCTCCTCTCAGGCAAGCCATTGCCCTGCAATGCTAAAACCTCAGCTTCAGTTTTCCAGCATTCACTACGAGGATGTGGCGATGACCTTAGTTGTTTAGGGGTGGTTGGCAGTGACATAATTTTTTTTTAGCCTTTCCTGTTTTGTTTCACCACTACAGAGAGAAGCTAGCCAACCTTTACATTGCTGGCTGTAGTGCCAAGTGCTTGAGCTCACCCTTGTTCACACTACATTGTCATAATTTCATTTGTTAAGAATTACTTTAAAGCTTTTTTTTTTTTTTTTTACAAAATTACCCTAATTTATATAAACCACTAAGTTAGTATATTCTGCATCAGCATATATTGAAGCAGGGTCTTCAGGCATTGCATCCGCCTCGAGTGCTGGAGGTCCATGGTCCCGGCTGGGATTTTTTTTTACGTGGACTAGTAATTTTCCTGGTCTCGTACGCCTGTGTGTATTGTTGCACACGAAAAAATCCCTTGGCAGATTTAAACTGAAGAGTAGCCTAACGGCGCTGCCCGGGCAAAATTTGGAGTTGAAAATCTACCCAAAGTATTTCAAGATCACCGCCTGGTGCTAAGGAGTTCGTGCACTGAGCTGAGATTCTTCAGACCCAGACTTGAGTTCAAAGTAGAATGGAGCACTTATGGGTTACTACCCTTGTGCCATGATGTTGATCTGTTGTGTAAACCTAAACTGATGCACAACTTTGGTTGAATAAACTACACAAAGTATAATCTCATGTGACACTGTATGTATCACCACGGAAATCTAAGAGTAATCACATGATCCTTTTGCTTTTGCAATCGAGGGGTTACCTGTATAATTAGCTGAAGTAAAATTGCTTATGTTTTGACAGGCCTATCGGCTCCAGTACCCAGAGGTCGCAAAGGAAAGAAGAGGAAGGAAAACCTCAACTTTCTTGCCGACCAGGACAAGCCCCTGGACTTTGACCCAGAAGTTGTGCTCGACAATGGCTACAAGAGACACCTACATCGGCACTCCAACAAGTTAGTGTTCAGTTGTAGTGTATTTGCTGTATATATTTTTATGCAATGAGTTGCTTTGAGTGTGAAATATCTTCCGTGTTGAATTAGTCTTTCAAGTGTATGGATTTTCTGTTTGTTCTCTGGCAATATCTTTTGAAATATCTTCCATATTGAATTAGTCTTTCAAGTGAATGGATTTTCTGTTTGTTCTCTGGCACTATCTATTTGATCCCAGAGAGCTTTTAGTAAAAACATCATCCTTACTGCAGATCATACAGTCATGATATCCCCCTCAGCTTGTAGCATACAGTACTGGGTTAAGGGTTGGTTCTTCTTCGTTAGCACAATGATTACTGCTTCATCTGCCTTCACTTTTGACTTGTTCTTGTAGCCTGGTCATGGCTGTATAAACCATAAATCATTTAGTAACTGGAAGTTGCTCCCAGGTCAACCCAGCCTTGGGTGGGTACCAGGTGCAGGCTTGGGAAGTTAAGGCTGACCACATCACCCATCTTGTGCCGATTGGGCTATAAAATATAGGTCTTGCCCTATAAAGGCATGGAAAAGTCCTTTACTCACTTTTACATCGAGCTGCTACGTGACTGGGCGTTAATGTTTCGCGGATGACTGGAAATCTCCGCAGTCTAGTGAAGGTCTACAGATCACAGACAGAAGTCACTGCTGTGTAGCAGTCTCATGCTAGTCAAAAGTTAATCATTTAATTGTTATACAGCGACCATTCCCTGGACAACAGCTTTGATGGGCTGGCTAAACCAGGAGAGGGTAGCTGATCAGACCTAATTGATTGGTGAGCTAGAAAATGCCTACCCAGCATGCAAAGTCTGGATTCGGCGGACTGTGCGGATGAAACAACCTTGGTTCGGCGGACAAAGAGGCGACTACCAGAAGGCTCTGTTAAGAGCCTTGAGCATGGCAGGGCACCAAAGAAGTCCTGGTCATCCACTGCATCAGAGTTCATCTCCAGACGTCTTAATTCATCCTGCCACTGAACTTGGGCGAGAGAGTGAGGTTGACGAATTCCTCACTTAAATCAAAGCCACAGCGCAAGTCATCCTTTCATTCATTCCTCAACTTTTATAACTGCAGCAGCAATTGAGAAAAGAGCAGCCAGGAAAGGCTTTTGAAGCAAATCACCAGAGAGATGTGGCTTCTATTCCCTGCCCACAATGCATATGAACTTTCAGTGCAAGAATTTGCCTTCTCAGCTATCTGCGCACTCACAAAACCTAATCCGGTCACCATTGGATGAAAGTCATCATCACTTATGATGGACGAACAACTTAACACACACACGTAATTATTAGTAATGAAATTGTTAGCGATGTAATTGTTAGCCATGTAATTGTTAATCATGTAATTGTAAGTCTTTAAGTAGTCATGTCATTTTTTTTTTTACTTATGTAATTACTAGTCAGCTAATTTTTACTCATGTAATTCGTTAATTTTTCCATGCCAGAGTTCTGCTTCGAGTCCGGCTGCTGTATTATATTAGACAAGAATTGATTGGTGACGAGGCAGACAAAGTCTACCAGAATTTACCACATACGTAAGTAGAGAATGTGATTAAATAGATATTGTAATTAAGTAGAGAATGTGATTAAATAGATAATGTAATTAAGTAGAGAATGTGATTAAAAAATGTAATGAAGTAGAGAATGTGATTTAATAGATAATGTGAATGTAGACACATGTCTGCAAGTATTTGAATTTAGACACATGTCTACAAGTATTTGAATGTAGACACATGTCTGCAAGTATTTGAATGTAGTCACGTGTCTGCAAGTATTTGGATGTAGACACATGTCTGCAAGTATTTGGATGTAGACACATGTCTGCAAATATTTGAATGTAGACACGTGTCTGCAAGTATTTGAATGTAGACACATGTCTGCAAGTATTTGAATGTAGACACACTTGTTGATTGTTAGTGATGTTGAACATAGAGGGTGACTGCCAAAGAGCTCATGCTGAAAACAAAACTAAATCAATTGAACACATAACTAGAAAGGTCAACGAAGGGAGAAGAGGAATCATGCACCCAATAACAGGCGGATGGTTCAAACCTGTGTCTTTATCTGCTAGTGTTCCCTAATGGTAATGGTGGGCATATGTGAGAAACTACTATGTTGTTGTGAAGGGGTAGGCTTTTCTGCTCTTTTCTCTCTCTCTCTCTCTCTCTCTCTCTCTCTCTCTCTCTCTCTCTCTCTCTCTCTCTCTCTCTCTCTCTCTCTCTCTCTCTCTCTCTCTCTCTCTCTCTCTCTCTCTCTCTCTCTCTCTCTCTCTCTCTCTCTCTCTCTCTCTCTCTCTCTCCTCTCTCTCTCTCTCTCTCTCTCTCTCTCTTCCCCCCCCCCCCTCCCTCCATCCCCAAATCTGCATATATGCTGTTTAAAGGGCAAGTGGAACTTTTGTGTTGTGATTGTCAGCCTGAGATATGCACCTAACCTGGAACATCCTGTTAGATCTGTACCTAACCTAGAACATCCTGTTAGATCTCTACCCAACCTAGAACATCCTGTTAGATCTCTACCCAACCTAGAACATCCTGTTAGATCTCTACCCAACCTAGAACATCCTGTTGGATCTGTACCTAACCCAGAACATCCTCTTTCAGCAAACCTTAGTCTCCTTTGACAACATGATTATTAAAGGTCACTGACACCCCCCCCCCCCTTTTCCCAGCTTAAACCAAACAGAGGTCTTTCTAGACCACTAAATGAGGTGTGGTGTCTAGTTTTTGTTTTGTGCCCCCCTTTTTTGTGTGACTTTTTCTGAAAACATTAGGGAATCATTTTATACCATTTTTTGAGTAACATGGACAAATATTTACCACGTGGGATTAAACCCTGAATGCACTGTAATGACAATGACACCCTGGCTGTTCTCTGTGGAGTTTAAGAACTGACATCACAGTACTCTGGACAGTCCCTTAAGTGCTGTGTACCCATTTTCAGCATTAAGTGCAGTTGTAATTGTGTTGTTATCTGTAAAAGTGTGATTGTTTGTCCCTCTTGCCTTTCCATTGGGTGTTGGTTAGATCCCCTGGTCCTTGCACTGAATTGCCAGATAACATTTGCATCTTTCCTTGGCAGAGAGATTAACATTCCACAACCAATCCTGGAAGGAGAAGTGCCAACTCCCTGGTGGGATGAGGAAGCTGACAAGTCCCTCATCATCGGAGTGTTCAAGTACGGGTATGAGAAGTACAACTGCATCCGTTCGGATCCATCGTTATGCTTCTTGACAAAGTGTGGTCCTCCAGATGGGGCTGCATTGTTGGCAGAACAAGAGGATGATAAGTGAGTGCAGCTTTGTTTCATATCCAGATGTCAGTCAGTCAGTCAGGTGCCATCTCCACAAAGAAAAATTGTATGATTACTTAGTTATTGAACTAATTTTTTTTCTCCATTTTTTTTTCATCATAGAATCTAGAAATCCCCTCGTCACTGTTGAAACTCATTAGCATGGTGGTTCTTTAGCTTGTCCTCATAATTGTCTTTATTTATAACCTCATCCTCAGTTGCAACTGTGACATTTGAACTGCGACACTTCTGATTCGTTCATGGTTTATTCGACGGATCAACATCATGGCACAGGGTAGTAACCCATAAGTGCTCTGTTCTACTTCTAACTCAAACCCGATTGCAAAGAATTTCAGCGCAGTGCACAAACTCTGTAGCACCAGCAAGGATCTTTAAATACTTTGGGGGAGATTTTATACTACAAACTGTGCCTCGGCAGTGCTGTTAGGCTACTCTTGTCGATTTCAAACTGCCAAAGGATTTTTTTTACGTGCACAGCAATACACACGAGCGTCCGATCTCACTACCCAGAGACCAGGAGTTCCAGCACCCGAGGCGGACGTCATGCCTCAAGATCACTTAGCCCCCCCCCCCCCCCCCCCCCCCCCCCCCCAACTTTTTGAACGACCTGACAGCAATCTCAGATCTTCACATTATCCCAGGATCTTTTCACCTAGGTACAAACTTCTCCCGTCGTTAGTTTCCCCACCCACACTACCTGCTGGAGTCAGATTGTTATCACAAGGCTTCATCCATTGGTTCCCCTTGTCTCATGGAACTTTTTTATGTCACCACTATACCAGCATTCCCATATAAGACCCTGATATTTTCTAACACATCATTTTGTAAAAAAAAACTCCTACCATTGTATAAGATGGAAAGTGTTTCTACACTATTTTTTGAGAGGGGAGGGGGAATTGTGTCTTATACTTGGGAGAAATACAGTACATCTTTCCCTCACATAGAGTATACTATACACTCACATACAGGGAAGCAGGTGTAGTATTTGTTGTGCGAATGATTTCCAGTGATGACTTGCCATGCTAATACGGATGGGGTCTCCTTTAAGACAGGATGTGCTTGTCTCTGGAGACTTTATATGAGTTGAAATCTATGCATCACTGAGGAAATCTGTGTTGTACTTATAGAGAGAGAGAGAGAGACTACCTCACTCTCACATATACTGCTGTATTCCCACATATACTGCTGAACTCCCACATATGTGAACATAGCATGCTTTATTGATGAGATACAACTGCTGTGTGAAAGATGGGAGTTTGGAAGGGCCGAATGTAAGACAGGCCTGTGTGCCTAATTTGTAACCCTTTGAAAATAAAGTTTGTTCGTTCATTTGTTCATATCCTGCTGTACTCCCACATATACTGCTGTACTCCCACATATACTGGTGTACTCCCACATATACTGGTGTACTCCCACATATACTGGTGTACTCCCACATATACTGCTGTACTCCCACATATACTGCTGTACTCCCACATATACTGCTGTACTCCCACATATACTGCTGTACTCCCACATATACTGCTGTACTCCCACATATACTGCTGTACTCCCACATATACTGGTGTACTCCCACATATACTGGTGCACTCCCACATATACTGCTGTACTCCCACATATACTGGTGTACTCCCACATTCACTGCTGTACTCCCACATTCACTGCTGTACTCCCACATTCACTGCTGTACTCCCACATATACTGCTGTACTCTGACATATACTGCTGTACTCCCACATATACTGCTGTACTCTGACATATACTGCTGTACTCCCACATATACTGCTGTACTCTGACATATACTGCTGGACTCCCACATATACTGCTCCTTGCCCTCACATAAACAATAGACTTCACTATATCCTTTCAACGGGGAAGCAGGTCTAGTGTATGTACTGTAAATGTTTTCCAATGATGACCTGCCATGCTAATACGGACGGGGTCTCCTTTAAGACAGGATGTGCTTGTCTCTGGAGACTTTCTGTGAGTTGAAATCTATGCATCACTGAGGAAATCTGTGTTGTACCTAATTATTCACACCTGATATATATATAGACTGTACCTCATGCCAACAGATACCACTGTACTCCCACATTAACTACTCCTTACCTTCACATAGACTATACTGTATCCTCATATAAGCTACATCTTTCCCTCACATAGACTTTACCATATCCTCACATACGGTGTGGAAAGTGAGGTCTATGTACTGTAAATGTTTTCCAATGATGACTTGCCATGCTAATACGGACGGGGTCTCCTTTAAGACAGGATGTGCTTGTTTCTGGAGACTTTCTGTGAGTTGAAATCTATGCATTACTGAGGAGATATAGACAGTACCTCACTCCCACATATCCTACTGTACTCCCACATGTCCTACTGTACTTCTACGTATACTTCTGTACTCCCACATATCCTGCTGTACTCCCACATATCCTACTGTACTCCCACATATACTGTTTTATTCTGACACATACTGCTGTACTCTGACATATACTGCTGTACTTCCACATATACTGTTTTATTCTGACACATACTGCTGTACTCCCACATAAACTGCTGTACTCTGACATATACTGCTGTACTTTGACATATACTGCTGTACTCTGACATACTGCTGTACTCTGACATATCCTACTGTACTCCCACATATCCTACTGTACTCCCACATATACTGTTTTATTCTGACACATACTGCTGTACTCTGACATATACTGCTGTACTCTGACATATACTGCTGGACTCCCACATATACTGCTCCTTGCCCTCACATAAACAATAGACTTTACTATATCCTTTTAAGGGGAAGCAGGTTTAGTGTATGTACTGTAAATGTTTTCCAATGATGACCTGCCATGCTAATACGGACGGGGTCTCCTTTAAGACAGGATGTGCTTGTTTCTGGAGACTTTCTGTGAGTTGAAATCTATGCATCACTGAGGAAATCTGTTTTGAACTTAATTAATCACATCTAATATATATCTATATAGACTGTACCTCACCCCGACATATCCTACTGTACTCCTACTATACTTCCACATATTTGACTGTACTTCCACATATACTGCTGTACTCACACATAACCTACTGTACTCCCACATATTCAGCTGTACTTCCACATATCCAACTGTACTGTCATATTTACTGCTGTACTCCACATAACCTACTGTACTCCCACATATTCAGCTGTACTTCCACATAACCTACTGTACTCCCACGTATACTGCTGTGCTCTGACATATAATGCTGGACTCCCACCAAGTACTGCTCCTTACCCTCACATACTCTATAACATATCCTCATATAAGCATCTTTCCCTCACACAGACTTTGATATATCCTCACATACAGTGATGTCATGTCTATGTACTGTAAATGTTTTCCAATGATGACTTGCCATGCTAATACGGATGGGGTCTCCTTTAAGACAGGATGTGCTTGTTTCTGGAGACTTTCTGTGAGTTGAAATCTATGCATTACTGAGGAGATATAGACAGTACCTCACTCCCACATATCCTACTGTACTTCTACGTATACTACTGTACTCCCACATATCCTACTGTACTCCCACATATCCTACTGCACTCCCACATATCCTACTGTACTCCCACATATCCTACTGTACTCCCACATATACTGTTTTATTCTGACACATACTGCTGTACTCCCACATATACTGCTGTACTCCCACATATACTGCTGTACTCTGACATATACAGCTGTACTTCCACAAGTACTGTTCCTTGCCCTCACATAAATTTTAGACTTCACTATATTCTTTCAACGGGGAAGCGGGTTTAGTGTATGTACTGTAAATGTTTTCCAATGATGACCTGCCATGCTAATACGGACGAGATCTCCTTTAAGACAGGATGTGCTTGTCTCTGGAGACTTTCTATGAGTTGAAATCTATGCATCACTGAGGAAATCTGTTTTGTGCTTAATGAATGAAACCTAATTATTATATAGACTACACCTAACTCCCACATATATTACTGTACACTCACATTTACCACTTTTTACCCTCACATTTACTGCTTGTTACCCTCACACTTACTATTACCCTGGCATTAACTGCTGTTACCCTCACATTTACTGCTGTTACCCTCACATTTACTGATATTACCCTCACATTTACTGCTTGTTACCCTCACACTTACTATTACCCTGGCATTAACTGCTGTTACCCTCACATTTACTGCTGTTACCCTCACATTTACTGCTGTTACCCTCACATTTACTGTCACATTTACTGCTTGTTACCCTCACACTTACTATTACCCTGACATTAACTGCTGCTACCCTGACATTTACTGCTGTTACCCTGACATTTACTGCTTGTTACTGTCACATTTACTGCCATTACCCTTACATTTACTGATATTACCCTCACATTTACTGCTGTTACCCTCACATTTACTGATATTACCCTCACATTTACTGATGTTACCCTCACATTTACTGCTGTTACCCTCCAATTTACTGATATTACCCTCACATTTACTGATATTACCCTCACATTTACTGATATTACCCTCACATTTACTGATGTTACCCTCACATTTACTGCTCAACCCTTACATTTATTGCCGTTACCCTCATAAATTTTACTGTATCCTCATGTAAGCTACCCCGTACCCTTACATAAACTATACATTCTCAGTCAACTGCTGCTTCATCATAGACTGGTGTAATCTCACTCAGATAATCTCAGTGAAATATGTTTCTCACATGTATATGTAATGGGGGATATTTTCACCCTGATTGGGAAGGTTGGGGGAAAGCCCTAGGTTAACCAAAACACAGAAAAAGGCCAGATACTCTGATTAACCGAGGTTTTCAAGGTAGGGAACGACTGTTATCACGTGGAACCTCAGGAGAACGACCACACGTCGCCACGTGGAAACCAAAAACAACCATGTGTTGCCACGTGGACCCCTGTCTGATCAGACAGTATGTGTTGACCGTCAGAACTAGA